GTTTGTTTGTGTTTGGAATGCCAGGCATTGAACCTAGGGTCTCATACATGCTAGACAACCGCTCTACTACTGAGCTATATCCAGAGCGTTCTTTTTACTTATTTTGAGACAGGGTCTCACTAAGCTTCCCAGGTTGGTCTTAAAGTCACTCAAATACAGTCAGCGCTTGAACTTCCAATCCACCTACTTCAGGCTCCCAACCTGCTGAAATTACAGGCCTTAACATCAGGCATAGCTTTTGGTCAATAAGGTTTTTTTTTTTTGTTTTTTTTTTGTTTTTTTTTTAATTCTAGAGCAGCTAGTGTTCTTAACTGCTGAGCCATCTCTCCAGCCCCAGGATATTTTTTTGTTTTAAGACAATGTTAAAAAAGAAAGCAAGACACAAAGTAAAACTGCATACAGATATCTAAATGGAACTGGATTAGAACAAACTATAAAGGAAATTTCTGGGCAAAATATTAGAAGTGATTTTATATATTATACATTGCTTTTTTAAAAATATGCTACTACTTTTACATTTTCCAAGTATAATGTAATATATGTATTTTCTAGAATCTGGGGAAAAAAACTTGCTATGTAGACCAATCTGGACTAGCACTTACAGAGATCTACCTGCTACTGCCTCTCAAGTGCTGGAAATTAAAGGTAAATCTTAACTTCGCTCTGTACTTCCCCAGCTTGCAAACTATTTCTCTTTCCCTCTCTTTTCTTTCTGTGTGTCCCGTGTATGGAACAACATCAACATATGAGTAGTCTGAGTACCTGTGCTGCATAGCTTTAGAGTCAACTTGACATACCTGGGTTAAAGAAGCCTCAACTGAAGAATTTCCTCTGTTGAACTGGCCTGTGGCTATATCTGTGGGGTATCTTCTTGATTGTTGATGTAGGTAGTTCCATACCTGCACAGGTGGGCCTGTGTTGTGTAAGAAAGCAAGCAGAGTAGGGGCCATAGGAGCAGGCCAGCAAGCAGAGTTCTTCCATGGCCTGTGCTCCAGCTCCTGTCTCCAGATTCCTGCCCTGAGTTCCTACCATGGGCTCCCTGATGCACTGTGACCCAGGAGATGTAAGATAAAATAAACCCTTTCCTCCCCAAGTTGGTATTGGTCAGAGTATTTTGCCCCAGCAATGGAGAAACAAACTAGGGCAGAAATTGGTACCAAGAGTGGGGTATTACTGTGACAGACCTAACGTTGGAGGATTGTAGAAGTGTTTGGAACTTTGGGTTGGGAAAGCCATTAAATGCTTAGAGTTTGCTACTGTGGAGCTTGGAACAGCTATGTTGAAAGAGTTGTGGACTATGGAGGCCTGTCTTGTGAAGCTTCAAAGGGAAGTGGAGACTATCAGGGATGTTTGTGTGATATTTTGAATTGAGAATCTGTGAGTTCTGATAGGCTGGGGCTGAAGAATCAGCTGTTACTAACAAGAGACCAACATCGTTGTGATGAAGTCTTCAGGGAGGTATTTCCTCAGGTCAGCTCATGGAGCGGATCCAAGCCTCTACCTCCAGGGAGGTATTTCCTCAGGTTAGCTCACAGAAGGGATCCGAGCCTCTATCTCAAGCTGGAAGCAGGACTTGGTAATGTGTAAGAGTCTCCTGCATGGTTCTGGTGTTGAAAGTGTAAAGGGGTCACAGAGAGCAGCTGAGGCTTTGCACTCTGAGAGGCCAGGAAAAGCCATTGGTGAAAGCGCAGCTTCAGTTGCAGTGAAGACCCCAGGACTGAAGAGGTCATGGAGAGAATCTGAGGCATTGCACCCCAAGAGGCAAGAAGAGGCCATTGGTGAGGATGTAGCCTCAGTTTCAGCCTGGCATTTTTGGAGATGCCAGGGCCATGGGACGACCACCAAGGACAGCAGTAGGTATGGGATGGAGCTGGCCTAGGTCTACAAGACGTGTTGTGTGAGCTGTGGACAGCAGTCAGAGAAGTGGAACTGCCAGAACCCTTTGGAGCCCAGTAGATCATGAGTGAATCCCAGTTGTCCAGTCTTGAGCTACTTTGCTGGACTTTGGTTTTGCTTAGGTGTGCCAAATTCTTCCCTTTTGAAATAAGACAGTGTTTGTTTTGGATTTTACAGAAGCCCACCCACAGTTAAGAGACTTTTAAAAAAGACTATGGACTTTTTAAGTGTTTGGATTTGGGGGGGCTGTGGGGCTTTTAAGGTTGTACTGTCTTATGTTGTGATAATATATCTTGGCAACAAGAATTGGAAAGGTTGTGGTTTAATAGTGATGTGTTTGTGTGTCAAGTTGACAAGGGGTCAATTGTGCTGGACAGCTTTAGTGTCAACTTGACACACCTGGGTTGAGGGAGCCTCAACTGGGGAATTGCCTCAATTGAACTGGCCTGTGGCCATGTCTGTAGGGCATCTTCTTGATTGTTGATGTGGGAGGGCCCAACCCACTGTGGATGGTGCCACCCCTGGGCAGGTGGGCCTGTGTTGCATAAGAAAGCAAGCTGAGCAGGGGCAAGCCAGTAAGTAGAATTCCTCCATCGCCTGTGCTCCAGCTCCTGCCTCCAGGTTCCTACCCTGAGTTCCTAACTTTGGGCTCCCTGACAAACTGTGACCCAGGAAATGTAAGATAAACCCCTTCCTCCCCAAGTTGGTATTGGTCAGAGTATTTTTCACAGCAATGGAGAAGCAAACTAGGACAGTACCCAAACAATGTTTAGTACAGTAGGGAAATTCTGATGTATAAAATAGAGCTGAACTATCAATTACCAGTTTTACTTTACATATCCAATTTACATCAATCCCACTTACTGTACTCTAAGTGGTACTCATATCTAATTCATTCATCATCTAATCTTATGTCCTCCTTTTTCTATGAGAGTCTCGGTAAGACAAGTTTAAGCAAGTTTGTAGTTTCTTCATATACAGGTCTGTCTTAAATGAGAGAGTATAGTCTAAAAAGATATGGAAAATAAGAACAGGTAAGGTTTGCTGTATTGCAGAAAAATGTGAAAGGCCTGGCTCAAATAAAATATTACTATGAACATGAATTCCATATACACATGTTCCAAAAGCTTCTATCTTAATATTCAGTTTTAATCTGATAATCTTTCTATGTGTGCAATAGGGTCTCACTATGAGACCTGCTATGCAGACCAGACTGGCTTCTAATTTGCAGTAATCATCCTGCATAGCCACCCAAGAGTCCTTTTTTGAATGGTTTTAAAGAGCCAAAGTATTGGGGCTAAGGATATAGCTCAGGTGGTAGAGTGCTTGCCTAGCAGGCGAAAGTCCTGGGTTTGATAGCCAATACCATATAAAACCTGGGTATGGTGGCAGAAACTTGCAATCCCAGCACTGGAGAGGTAGAGGCAGGTAGACAAAAGTTCAAAGTCATCCTGGTCTACACAAGAACCTATCTCATAGGAAAAAAAAAAAAAATCTCTTTATAAGAAATATACAGGAAACTTACATGGCCCAAACATAGCTTCATCCCAGACAAGACCAGAAAACATCTCCCTCAGGAACAAATGCTACCAAGAACAAACATAATCTTTGTTTACTGAAGATTAAGTTACCTAAAAGATGATTTCAAGTATACTGTATGAATCAGGCATGGGAGTGCATACCTGTAATTCCAGCACTCAGGAAGTTGAGGCAGGAGGATTGTGAGCTCAAGTCCAACCCAGGCTATAGAGCAAGATCCTGCCTAAAAAGAAAAGTGTACCATATAATAAAGATAAAGTAGATACTAAAATTTCATGGAGGTACCAAGGGCATATCACTAAAAAAGATGTTTATAAAAGATACAACAAATCATCTTAAAATGTATCTATTGTAAAACTACTATATATGATAACTGAAGACACCTTGAATATTAATGGAAACAGAATGGTTAGATTATGGCAAAAAATACTCTTTAAATATTATGTATCAATTAAAAAGAATAAAGTCGTATGGAAAAACCAGACAGAGCTGAGACATGCTGTTAAGGTAAAAGCCAGTTGCTGAACAGTATTAGCCTTTGTCCAAAGAATGGAAGGAAGAAGATACATTTCTCTCTATCCCTTCAACATTTCCTACACTCCTTTGCAACTTATAGTGTTCACCTTGCTTAATTATTCCAGAGCCTTTCATCGTTAGTTTTACCGACTTTTTTTTCTATAATATCTTCACAGACATGTTTCCTACATGATTTGTATCCTCTAACATTGTCCCACAGGATCCTCAAAATATGCAGATGCAGACACAAAGCTCATCTAGAAAGGGACTGTATGACATGGCATGGAGCCCTATGCTCCTGTACGTCACTTGGACAGAATCTGGAGATGGTGATCACCCAGAGTATCCACACTGAAACTGACTTTCAATTTTATCTGTAGATGTTCCTTCCTCTTCCTAACCAGCCATAGGTTTTTAAAAACCTATTACTGTGCTGGTTGCTTTTTGTAAACCTGACACAAACTCAGACACCTGGGAAGAGGGAACCTCAACTGAGAAATAGCCATCATATTGGCCTGTTGGCCTGCCTGTGGGGCATTTTCTGATTGCTGGTTGATAAAGCAGAGTGAGCAGTGCCATCCCTGGGCAGGTGGGCCTAGGCTGTACAGAAAAGTAGCTGAGCAAGCCAGAGGAAAGCAAGCCATAGTAAGCAGAATTCCTCTCTGGTTTCTGCTTCAAGTTTCTGCCTTGAATTCCTGCCTTGGCTTCCCTCAATGACAGACTGTAACCTGTAAGCCAAATAAACCCTTTCCTCCCAAGCTGGTTTTGGTCAGTGTTTTATCACAGCAACAGAAAGCAAACTAGAACACCTATACTGAAATCTAGCTCATAACATGGTTCCATACATAAGATACACAAAAAATATGTGTGGAGGGCTAACAATGAGTAAACTTAAAAGAGCAAGAAGTGAAATTTTAGGGAAACTAAAACACTCATTAAATGGGAAAACTGGAACCACAATATAGTCCTTTAAATTCTCTAACTCAACATTGTCTTTAGACCACCACCAGTTCTTAATATTCATCCCCTATTATTTTAAAAATACTTACTGTCTGTTTGGCATTGGTGCTATCCATGTGTTTAGTAAGGCCAGGGTTGACATCTGCAAATTCTACAGTTCTTCCTATTATCCAACAGAATGTCTTCTTACTAGGAAATACAATGTTTTATATACAAATTATAATCTTTTGAGAGAAGGTCTTATTATATAGCCCTGGAACTTGATACATAAAGCAGGCTGGGCTGAATTCACAGAGATCTATCCACTGGTCTCTGACTCATGAGTGCTAGAATTAGAGGTGTGCACCACCACACTAGCATTCAAATTATAGTCTCTCATTTTTTGAGTCAGGGTCTCCCTGTATCACCAGTTGGTCTGAAACTCATTATGTAAACCAGGCTGCCCTCAAACTCAGAGAGATCTGCATGCCTCTGTCTCCCAGGTGCTGGGGGATTAAAGGAGTGTGCCACCATACCTGGCCTCAAATTATAGTCTTAAATAGAAATCCAAAACAGACCAAACATTTCTAATATACATAAATGATATTTCAAATAAATTATGGCATAAAAGAACAGAAAGACCCCATTTGACACTAGAGAGGTGACTACCTTTTGAAAAGCGGTTTTTTTTGTTTTGTTTTGTTTTTTTGTCTTTTTGAGAAAGGGTCTCTCTGTAGCCCCAGCTGTCCTAGAACTCACTATGTAGACCAGGCTGGCCTTGAACTCACAAAGATCCACCTGCCTCTGCCTCCCGAGTGCTGGGATTAAAGGCGTGTGCCACCACACCCGGCCAGGAAAGGGTTTTATGAAGAGAAAGAACTAAGCATGTATTTTCTTCCATTTAAGTAGAATACTATCACAAAGTATCATAAAAAGAGAAAAAAAGATGTCCGTATTAATTTTGCTTCTTTTAGTTTGAAATAAAACATTCCTTGGACCAGGTGATGGTTTTGAGTGCCCATTCCCCACCCCAAATCCAAGCCCTTGGGTCTCCTTCTGTGGCTCTTCCCCCTAACTCTAGCTACCCAGTCCCACCTGCCCCCTATGCCTATGACTGGCCTACCTGCTGTTTTCACATTTGTTCAAGAGACTAAAAAAATGAGAACAAAATCAACAAAAATGTGTGGCATTTTGTAGCCCTAGCTGACCTGGGACTTGCCATGTAGACCAGGCTGGCCTTGAACTCACAGAGATCCGCCTGCCTCTGCCTCCCATGTGTTGGGACTAGAGGCGTGCGCCACCATGCATGGTGGCATTTTTTACTTTTTATCTCATTTTAGTTTTACAAATAAATGATAACAAAACCTAAAAGCAAATTGTCAATGAATGCTAAAAGTAGTATTAGGTGCAAGGCTGGTAGAATTGAGCTTGTTTAGCTAGGTATGGTGGCTCACACCTATAATTCCATCACACAGAAGGCTGAGGCAGAGAATCAAAAATTTAAGACCAGCAAGGCATGGTGGTGCACACCTTTAACCTCAGCATTCAGGAGACAGAGGTAGGCAGATCTCTGTGAGATCGAGGCCAGCCTGGTCTACGTGGCAAGTCCCAGGTCAGCTAGGGCTACAAAAAGACCCTGTTTCATAGAACTAAAAAAAAAAGTTGGAGACCAGTCTGGGTTACATAGTGAGTTTGACTCCAGATTGGGCTATGTAGTGAGACTCTATCTCAAACCTTCACTTAAAAAAGGGGGAGAAGCTGGGCATGGTGGCGCATGCCTTTAATCCCAGCACTTGGGAGGCAGAGGCAGGTGGATCTCTGTAAGTTCAAGGCCAGCCTGGTCTACATAGTAAGTTCTAGGACAGCTGGGGCTACAAGGAGACCCTGTCTCAAAAAGATAAAAAAAAAAAAAATAGGGGGAGAAAACAGAATGACAGATTTTATTTTAGGTGCTATTTACCATAACTGATTATTTCAGGGCTAGAAGTAGCTCAGTGGTAGCATGCTTACCTAGCATGTACAAAGCCCTAAAGGCCCTGCAAGTTTGATCTCCAGAACAAAAAAAACTACTTAAAGAAGTTTTAGAGTTTTGAATATAAAATATTCCCAACAGGCTCATATGCTGAAGGGTTGGTCCCTAGCTGGTGCTATTTTGGAAGGTGGTAGAAAATTTAGGAAGCATTGCTTAGCAGAAGAGGAGGTAGGTCACTAGGGGCATGTCATTTGAAGGGTATCTTGTCCCTGGACCCTTTCTGTCTCTCTCTCTGCTTCCTAGCTCCATGAAGTGAGCAACTATTTCTGCCCTGTACTCCAGCCACCAAGCTGTCCTGCCTCACCAAAGGCCTGTAGCAGTGGAGCCAGCTAAAACCTTGAAAACCATGAATCAGGATATAATAAACCTGAGTCAGACATGGTGATGCACACCTCTAATCCCAGCACTGGGGAGGAATTCATAGTGAGTTCCAAGATAGGTATGGCTATAGGGAGACCCTGTCTCAAAAAGACTTAAAAAAAAGGTATAATAAACCTTTCCTCTCTTAAACTGTTTCAATTAGGTACATCAGTCATGAAAAGTCTGAATAACGTGTTTGACTACAAGAAAAAGAGATGGTTTAACAGAGAAAGCAAATCTTCATCTAAGAGAGGTAATCAATAAAATCTCAAATAGAGGGGCTGGAGAGATAGCTCAGTGGTTAAGAGCACTGACTGCTCTTGCAGAGGACCCGGGTTCGATTCCCAGCACCCACATGGCAGCTACGAACTGTCCTTAACTCCAGTTCCAGGGGAATCCGAAGCCCTCTTCTGACCTCTGCGGCACTGCATGACACGGGTGCACTCACATACATGCAGGCAATACACTCATACACATAAAATAAAAATATTTTTAAAAATAAAATACAATAAAATCTCAAATAGAAACCTTGAAAATTTAACTGAATTAATTACACTATACAATCAGTTATCAACTGAATCCCTTGACAAAATGGCTTTATTGGATCTTTATAGTTCTACAAGTTAGGAGAAAAATGGATACTTTGTACTCCCCAGTGACTGTCCATACAGCATATCCATTCCCCCACTAGGTACTATGCATGTATCGTTCATATATCATATTCTGTGCAGATATATTCATGTATCTGTGCAAATATCATGTTCATTTCCCCTACTAAATCACTTCTTTCCTCCTAATCACCTTACCAAAAAAGCCTCTTCCTTCCTTACAAATTCTTAGAAGTTCCAATTCCAACTGGAAGAACTGTCCGGAAATTTTATTTCCCCAATGCACCTAGAATTGATAAACCACCAGAATTCTGAACTCAGAGGGATCAAACTCCTACAATTTCCTATATATTATTTCAAACTCTTAAAAGTAGCTTACATTTGCTGTTTCAACTTCTGCTTGTCTCCCTGACCGAAAGCAATGCCCCTCTCTCCCCACCTACAATATGTACACTAGTCCTTCCTTATTCTCAATTCCATTTTCTTTGGTTTCCATTACTTGCAATCAATAGTGGTCTGAAAATATTAAATGCAAAACTCTAGAAATAAGCAATTCTTAAGTCCTACATTGTGCATCATGAGGATTATTTGAAAACACACACTGTCATACCTTGACAGTGAGTCTGACTGATAACTGAGATAACTGTCAAATGGCTGACGGGCAGGCAGCATATCTGTAGAGCAAATATGCTGGAAAAAGGAATGGTTCACACACTAGGGGTTAGGAGCAGGATGGCACCATATTCATCACACTACTCAGAATGTCCTCTGGAAGCGAAATGTGCTGATGTACACTTGTGATCCTGGCACTCCGGAGAGAGGCAGGAGGATCACTGCAAGTTTGAGGTCAACCTCAACAAGTCAAGCCAGGGCTACACAGCAAGAACCTGTCTAAAAAAAATAAATAAAGAGTGGCTCTTCAGAGTTCAATGGAGGACAGTAATAGCCTACCACTTTATCACAGTGCCTACATCCTTAACCTCCTCCTCACATAAGGCTTTATCAGCGCAAGATCAAAGATGAGGATGAGCCTTCAAAAGTTTATTTTGGGGGCTGGAGAGATGGCTCAGTGGTTAAGTTGTTCTTGTAGAAGACCGGGGTTCGAATCCCAGCACCCACATGGCAGCTAACAACTGTCCGTAACTCCAGTCCCAGGGGATCTGACAGCCTCTTCTGGCCTTCACGGGCACTGCATGACACAGGTGCACTTACATGCAGGCAATACACATATACACATAAAATCAAAAATAAATAAATAAATTTTTTTAAAGTTTATTTTGAGACCACATTCATATAACTTTCATTATCGTGTGCTGTTAGAACTATTCTACTACTTTCTATTTTTTTATTAGTTGTTCATCTCTTACCACACCTAATTCATAAATTACACTTCATCATATGCAGGAAAACCATATACTAGGGAAGTATTCTACCAAAGCCATCCTCCAGTCCAAGTCCCTTTTTTTTCAACAATATGCATTATTTCCACATGGTTACCTCCATCTATACTTCTAGTTTTTTTGTTTTTGTTTTGTTCTGTCTTGGTGGTTCTAGGGATTGAACCCAGGACCTACACATACTAGGTAACATACTTCCAGTGACAGTCTTCCCTTTTCTCAAGACAGGGTCTCACATAACCCATGCTGACCTTGAACCTGCTATGGAGCAGAGATGACTTGTTCTGTTTTGTTTTGTTGTTATTGTTGTTTTGAAACAAGGTCTTACTGTGTAACCCTGGCTGGCCTGGAACTTGTTATGTAGACCAGGCTGGCCTGGAACTCAGAGATCTGCCCACCTCTGCCTCCTGAGTGTTGGGATTAAAAGTATGCGCCACTACACCCAGCCAGCAGAGATGACTTTGAACTCCTGATCTTGCTGTACTTCCCAATGCTAGAAGGGATCATAGGCACAGCTTCCAGTTAGTATTCCTGATATATTACATATCTAAAATCATTTCAATGCTTATGTTTCATATGCATACTTTACCACCTCTGGACTTAGTAATATAATTTTTTTTTTTTTGTCAATCTCATAAGATGCTTCCAGCCCCTACCAGTGGCTCAAGCCATATATTTAGCAAAATAATCCTTGGTTCCTTACTTCCACTACCTACTCTCCCTTTTATTTTTTTTAATATTTTATTTATTATTTTTATTTTATGTGTATGAGTGTATTGCCTGCATGTAGGTAAGTGTACCTGTGTCGTGCAA